AAAGGGGAAAAGATTAGAAACAAAGGTGAACTTTAAAGATTACATTGGGATTAACAATGACAAAAATAGAAAGAGTGGAAAGAGACAAGGAGAGAAAGAAGAGAGGAAGAGACAAAACCAAAGAGGTCAAAGAGGTTGTAAAAAAATGCTTTTAAAAGCCTCTGACGATGCCAGCTGAGCCATGCGATCATCAGAGGCTTTTTTTTTACTTTTAAAAGCATTTTTTTGGCCGAAGAGGTTGTAGAAAAAATGCTTTTAAAGGTTTTTTAAAAAGCCTCTGATGATCGCACGGCTCATCTGGACATGGGGGGGGGGCAGGGATTTTTCCTACCGGTTCTCCGAACCACCCCCTGCCATCTCTACTGGATTGGGCAATCCGGTCCAAACTGGGAGAATTTCACCCCTAGACAAAACACAAAAAATTCAAATGATTACACTGGGATCAACAGTGGGAAAATAAGAAAGGGGAAAAGGGGAAAAACGAGGAGAGCAGATGGATATACAGGGCAAATCAGGAGAGTAAGGGACTTTAAAATTAGGAGAAAAAAAGGGAAAAAGAAGAAAATAAGAGAGTGGGATAAAGAGAAAAAGGAGTAGTTAGTGGAAAGGAAAAGGGAAAATATGTTTTATATTTAGAACTATAAATGAATTGAAGTAAGATCTATAATTATAAATGAATTGTAGCAAGTTTAATATATGTGATTCTAATACTTGGAATGTCTTTAATTGTAATAATGGAATTCAGCTAAAGCATTTGAAATTATATTGTATTGTGAAAAGGGATTAATGAATTATTAAATAAGAGGAGAAGGGAAAGGGAAAAGATGAAAATTGACTTTGTTTACTGTTTAACATGAAGAGATTAAGACACTGTTAGCAATAATTGAAATTAACTTTTAAGAGGGGGAAATATTACTGATTATGATTATGGTTTATTATGAAGAGGTATAGATAGTATATATATTTGAAAAAGCAATAGAAAATTGGGTTTATTTAAAAAAAACAACTGGAATTGAGAAATAGAAATGAATGACTTTAATGTTATATACTTAAGTGAATTGTAGTAATATATTTGATTGTAGTTTTGATAAGCTGATGAAGGAAAGAAATGGAAAAAAGGGAAGGAAATGGATTATACATGTAAAATTGTATGAATATTAATATCTATAATTGGAATAAAGGGATCTAGAGAAAATATTTAAAACTATATTATGTTGTGAAAAGGGAGCAATGGGAAATATTTGAATAAGATGATTTATAGTTGGGGTTAGGTTTTGGAAAAATGATTGACTTTAAATTAAAGGATTTCAATTTGGAAAATGTAATGAGGTGGGGGGGAAGAAAAATTGACCAAGATTAGAGATTAGGGCAAATGGTAATATTGGTTATATACCAGAAGAAACAGAAGGAAAATAAAACAAAAAATCAGAGAGAAAGAATATTATGGCAAAAAGTGAAATATATAAATTGTGTTGGAGAAAACTAAATGCTGTACAAATTTTGACTCGGCCAATACTCTGTTCAGAAAAAAATGTATTGTTTGTTTGTTTGTGTGGGTTTGTTTTGGAAAAAAAACATTTCTAAAAAAAATCTTCAGTGTGGAAATCTTCGATCTCCACAACTTCTGGAGGCAAGCTATTCCATTAATTAATTCTAGTTGGCCAAGTCAAGGGCCATGGTGTTATGATGGTTTTCCTTCTTCTTCCTGGGTTGGTTCCAGTTGGAAGGGAGAAGAGATCTAGCCCTAAGCCCCTATTGTACTGAGTGCCATAAGCATAGACTTTCTTCTGTTCCTATTTAACATCTCCATGAAGCCACTGGATAAGACCAGTACAGAATTAAGGTTGATGGTATTACTCAATTATCTAACCAAGGTCATCCAGATGCTATCATCAGGGTTGCTTCTCAGTGTCTGAAGGTGTGGAAGTCTGAATGGATGAGGAAGTCCCAATTTAGCCCTGGCAAGATTGAATGGCTATAGGTTTTGAGACCACCACCCCCCGCAATCTGGGACTTAATATGATTTATTCTGAATGGGGTGGTACTTCTGCCAGAACTGGAGTGCAATTTGGAGATCTTCTTAGCTCTTGCTCAAACAGTAGATGACAACTGTACCCTTGGGGGGCATTTGCACAAGTTCAGCTTTTGTACCACTTCGTGTTGTGGTCTGCCAGCAGCCTGCGGAGCTGGCAGTGGAGTCGGACAGTGAGGAGGCTGAGGAAGAACATGGGCCAGTCCTGGAGGCTGGGGAAGGCCCGGACGAGGGCTCTGCGTTGGAGGCAGAGATGGGGCCAGAGCCATCTGGGAGTGATGTATGGACTCCAGAGCCTCCAGAGACTGACATCAGAGAGGCAGAGGAACAGGAGGAGCCTGTTCCTAGTACATGTATGAGAAGAACTGCCAGAAAGCAAGAGCAGCTACAGCAAAGAGGATGACTTGGGAGTAGGGCCAAGAGATGATTGGCTCCTCCCATAATGCTTAAAAGACCAGCAATGGCTCTTGGGCTCTTTATCAGATAACAACGTTGATAAATTTGTTTCTTGTCTTGCTGAATTTATTTCTTGTCAGCGTCTTCTGCTTCTGAACTTTTGCCAAGAAAAGCCTTTGGCAGGTTGCCTAATTAGACCAAGGTTGGTGATAAGGCTGAAGAATGGTGTTATGAAGAATTCGTTTTGAATTAGTTTGGACTATGCTGAGAATGAGTTAATTCTCAGCTGTTCTAATAAAGTCTGTTTGTTTTCAAACTGATTGCATCTGATGATACCTACTTGGGCCTGGGTCACAACACTTTGCCAATTCCTAGACTTGGAAGTTCTCATGCTTTGATCACTTTCTGTGTGGAATATTGCAATGTTCTGCACATGGGACTGTCCTTCAAGACCACTCGGGGGCTAATGGCTGGTCAAGAATATACCCATAGGAGTAATATTGTTGTACCTATATAAAAACTCTCTTTTATGAGTTGCACTGGGTTCCAGTTGACTTCAGGGTACAATTAAAGATGTTTCTTACACCTTTAAAGACATCCATAGCATAGGAGTGCTTTACTAGAAGGATCACCCATCTCCAATTATCTCGGATCAGATTGGGTCCGCATGCTCTCAGTCCTTTCAGTTAAACAATATCATCTCATGGGATCCAGGAAGCATGCCTTCTCTATCGTGGTGCCTACCTTCTGGAACAGCATATCGCGCAAGTTAAGGAAAATCTTTCCAGCTGGTTTTTGTAGAACTTTGAAAACCTGGCTCTTTCCCCAAAGATTTAAATCAGGCTGTTGGGTGAGATCATCTTGTGTATTTGCGTAATAGCAATAGCACTTAGACTTACATACCACTTTACAGTGCTTTTACAGCCCTCTCTAAGTGGTTTACAGAGTCAGCCTATTGCCCCCAACAATCTGAGTTCTCATTTTACTGACCTCGGAAGGATGGAAGGCTGAGTCAGCCATGAGCTTGGTGATATTCAAACTGCCAAATTATAGGCAGCCAGCAGAAGTAGCCTGCAGTACTGCATTCTAACCAATCTAATAAGACTGTTATTACCTGTTATTATAAGCTTTTTAAAACTTTTCATGTTTAATGACTAGAGTCATAGACAAAGTGGACAGCCTAAATGAACCAATCAGCCTAAATGAAACATCAATTGGGCTGACTTCCTCCTTCCCAAAATGGCTAAAATGAAAAGCTCACTAGCAAGACTTGGAGCAAACAGCCTACTTCTGCTAAAGCTCCCTTATAAATGATAATTTCTGCCTTTGGTTCTAAAGGTCCATTATCCCCACCATGATGCTAGTATTAGTTTCTGCCTTTGAGAGACTATGTTCCAGAAATATCCTAATCCTTTTTTAAAATATCTAAGATAGTTGTGCCAGTCAATTACATAAATTAATGTATAATGTGATTTTTTTCCCTACTGGTTAATTTCACTGGAGTCCTCTACATTGTAGACTTAAGAGGGGGGGGAAAGCTCTTATCATCCATTGGCCCATATTTTTGATCATCTGATGAACCCAAATCCCTAAGTCCTTCTGTTACAGAAACCTCCAGTTTTGTTCATTCTGATTGCTATATTTTATGCAAAGTACGGGAAATTATTTTTATTTATATATTTTGCCATTTCTTTCCCAATTTACCCAGCCTGGGAAGATAATTTTCAAGCTGTTCATATTTTACTTACATTTTCATTACAGTATTCTGAAAAACTCAGGGATTAATTGCAAATAGACCATCCATTGTTCATTTCTATTTCCTGATCACTTGTGAACAACGCCTCTTGTCTCTTAATATGTATTCTTGAAAGTCCCCACTGATTATTTTTCTCCACTGCAAGAATTATCCTTTTCTTTCTACCTTCTGCTCCTTGTGTTGTGATTTTCATTAATGTGTAATAGGATTGAAAAGCTATTCAATTAGGCTATCAATATCATCATCCAGTTTCTCTTTGTTTACTGAGCTCCTGGCTACGTAACAATTAACTGATTGATAGAAGGGCTAAAAGGTTTTCAGATCTTATTGGCATCATTATGTATTTTGTTTAAGTAGAAGTTAATAATTTTAGGATTTATCTTCGTGGGAGACAGACAACATGAGGGTAGCATGAGTGAAAGCTGTACTTTGTTCAACCCTGTCATGGTTAGCTAAGAAAGCAAATACTGTATATTCTCTTTTTATTGTAATAAACTGATAGCTAAGTATATATATATATATTTATACCAATAGCTGGACCATATAGAATTTGAAGTTACTTTACCAATTGTTTACATACATATACAAACTAACATTCTTTTAAAAATAATTGTCAAAGGATCTAATGGTGATGTCTTCTTAATGTCTGAACTATTTGGAAAGAAAATAAAACAGATTTTAAAAAAAATATTTGGAATATGAGTTTCATTTTCTCCAGAGCAGAGCTGACAGGACACTAACTCATTGGATTACATCAGCTCCAATCCAAAGAGTGTACACTTCTCTTTATTCACAGCTTGAACGTGGGCTTGTTGTGTCGGAATAAGTCTACCAAACCCAAACAGATGAATGTACTTCAGTACTTGGAGAACATTTTATACTCATTATGAATGCAATGCAATATCAAAATATGTCCCCTAGGACCAAAATATAAGGTAAGAGCATCCTATGAGCAAGGTCCTTTGCATTTTAAAAACAATATTGATAACTTAAGAATATGCACTACAGCCTGTTATTCTAACATAAAATAAGAAATATTTGAGTTTTAAAATATCATTAATTTTCAAGTTTCTAAGTATGGACCTAGTGAACGCATGACAAATAATCTGCTGGTGCTAGGATAATAATTTTTATAGGAATCTGGATAAGATGGTCAACATAATTTACATCTGACATGCCTTAGGGTAGCGTTCTCCAGATGGAATGGATTATAAATTCCAGCATCCCCAGCCAGTTTGAGACTTGTAATTTAGTATACCCAAAGGACACCTTTATACAGAAGACTGCTCAATGCCAATCCCTATCAACAGAGAATTCCAGAAACAAACTTCACTAAAGATAATAATAAGGTCATAAGATACAGAGTAGTAGATATGCAGATGAAACAAACATTGAGGTCATAAGTAAACCAAAGCTTCATGTTAATCACTTGAGCCATGCTTACACTGGAAAATATCTCAAGTTTCTAAAAGCTACCACAAACTGCCTTGACACTACTCACAAAACAGCAAAGGCATCTGTGTTCATCTTAGAAGTAGGTGGAAGTAAAGCATAAAAAAGAGAAGTAGATGAAAGGAAAACATCAGATAAACCTCCCCAAATGTTATGACCTAAGCACAAAATTCATCACTGTCACAACTAAGGGACCATACATCCTGGCAAGTCATGAGCTATCCATGATTTGTGTCATTGCCGAGGATGATAAATCATTGCTAAGGACATAACAACCAGCCTCATCACCACAACATAATAGATCATGATATATCAAGTTCTTCTCTGAAATATTATTTACAGTTAGTAGGGGGTTGGAATGGCAACACAAAGCTGATATTAATTTTGCTTCTAACGTGCCAATGTGTGCAGCCAGATCCTTGCCTTAAGAGCCACAGAGGCCATGTTTTGCAGTTGTAATAAGAGGCATCTGTAAGGAATTTAATGTCAATCAGTATCTATGGTATAATAAAAGTGGAGAGAACTAAAACTAATATTAGTAATGCTGTCTTCTTAACTCTAATTCTATATTATAATATGATTATCTCCTCCAACCAAGATAAAAGAAGTATATCAAGTAGTCAAACTACGGAAACTGAGAGAAGTTTTATTTTACTTTATTTATCCAAATTTGTATAGCTGCCCATCTCACAAGAAAGTGACTGTCCAAGGATCACAAGAGGAAGTGAAAGAGTTAAAATGTGCGTCATAAAGAAGATACTCTCTTATATTTTGTTAGTAAATAAGACTGAACCGAGTTGTATTTCTTTGCCTGACACACAAAGCAAATTTTGTTGTTTGTTTTATTGCAGAATATGCTCTAAATCAAATATTGTACCGCCTAGAAAAACTACCGTATTTTTTGGAGTATAAGATGCACTTCCCCCCCCCCCAAAAGAGGGTGAAAATTTGGGTGCATCTTATACACCGAATGTTGCTCCCCTCACCCGCCGGCCCCCATCCTTTTGGAGCTTATGGAGGCTACAAATGCAGCCTCCCAAAACAGAGAGCCTCTCAAACATTCTCCAAAAGGTTCGTTTGAGAGGCTGCCTTTACAAAGAGAAGCTCCTTTGCAAATGGAGCTTTTGGAGCTTTTGGAGGCTGCAAACACAGCTTCTCAAACAGAGAGCCTCTCAAGCTGATTTTATTTTTCTTATTTTCCTCTCCCCAAAATAAGGTCCATCTTATACTCTGAAAAATACGGTATATGCTTATCAACAAGTCATTATTGAAACATTTCACCCATTTTCTGCAGTCTTTCGGGATTTAATTTCCAGGAAATTATTTGGACCAAAATTTATTATAATTCTGGCTTTTAGTTCCTATCTATTTCCTGGTATAAGGGATGCATAAATTTATTGCTATACAGTACTGAAATTTTATGAAGATGGCCTATTTTCCCCTATACGGGAATCATCCTAATCTTTCATTAGTGTGACACCTTCTTATTTTATTTAGTTAGTTAGTTTGTCAAACATGTATAAGATAACAGGTATAAGTATAAACATGGACATGAACACAGGAAATGAGTACAAATAAATGGGGACAGTAGGACAGGGACGATAGGCATGCTGGTGCGCTTATGCACGCCCCTTTAGGGACCTCTTAGGAAAGGGGTGAGGCCCACGGTAAATAATCTTTATAATCTTTCCATGCCCCAAAATTATCCTGATTTAAAATTTGAAGTACAATTTTCCAACCTAAGATATTTAACATTTCCACAACTTTGCGATGTCAAATGCCTCTTTTTATATGCCTGAATTTATGTTAACTTTTCCTAAAGGAATTATAATTGTTTTGGACAGTACAGTTTCCTGTAGAATCTTTAACTCTCTTGTCATACATAAATCTTACTTACATATAAAGGGGGCACTAGAAAATACGTTGGGAACAATCCAGGTTTTAATAAAGGTGCAAAGAGAAGTTATGCATAATGAGAATGTGTTAACAGAAATAGTTCCAGGGAAAAGGGGGAGGGGAGTTTCTACATTTAGAGAAGTGTGTATGTATGAGAAAGAGATTAATAAATTCTTCATGCAGAAGGAAGCTGCAAAAACTGTGCTTCAAAGTTTTTCCCCATTATTTGCTGTACTTATATTTTTTTAAATTCATTCACTTGATCATTTTTTTCTCTCTAGGTTGGATGGAATTAAGGCTCAGCACATGCCACCACCCCACTTAGTTTTACGATCATAGAATTCGAAGCAAGGAAAGAGTGTGTTTCAAGTTCTCAATGCTCTATATTTCAGACACCCAAGATTTGCTCTATCAGAAGATACATTTTGAGCTTTCTTCTGTTGGAACTGTACAACTGAAATATTCTTACAGAACAATCTGGACTGGGCGGTTTTGTTCTGGGCTCAGAATAAACTAAGCTTTTTGTTATTGTTGTTATATCTACCTCAATTTTAGAAGGGAAAAAAAGCAATGATTATTGAATTTATCTCAGCAATGAAATTTGTGGAAAATGGGTTTAGAGGAGGGGTCCCCAACTCCTGGTCCATGGACTGGCCAATGGCATGCCAGAAACTAGGCCTCACAAATAAGCAAATCCCCATCCGCAGGATGCAAGTAGCACGTGAAATCATGCTCCCTCCGGTCCACAGAAAACCTTTCTCCGTGGAACCAGTCCCTGGCGCCCAAAAGGTTGGGGGCCACTGGTTTAGAGGTCAACCCAGAGATATTTTTTTTAATCACAACTTTTTACTGTTTTGCTGTTACTTAGGAAAGAAGTACATTTGATGTTACTTTGAATAGTGAGATGGGTGGCATATAAATTTAGCAAATTATCTTTCCTTTAAGATGAATGCAATTTAAGGTACTGAAGAGCCAAGTTAAAATATTTCTAAATGAATCAGTGGGTTCATTGGGTTCAAACTGACTTACATACCAGACGGTCCAGACCTATTACTTGCAAGAGGCTTGAAAGAGCTTATGGTAGTCATTCTAGTGCCCCTTTCCGTGACAAATCATGCAGGACAGGTATAATACCAGACAATTGGAGAAGGGCAATTTTTCTTCCTATCTTCAGATAATGGAAAAAGAAAGCAGGCAACCATAGACTGGTTAGGGTAGGTTGACATTGATTGTGGAAAAAAATTTGGAAGAGATGATCAAGCAGTTGGTTTGTGAGTATTTAGAAAATAATGCATTGCTTGGCAGAAATTAGCATGGGTTTATGCCAACAAACCCAATTTCTTTTTATTAGAGCGATCAATTTAGTTGACTACAGGAATGCAGTGGTCATAGTGTAGCTTGATCTTGACAAAGCATTCAACAAAAGCAGTTCTTATGGTTCAATAATGTTGTGTTTTACATAGTTCTAATTAATAAAACATAGTTATGCAGTTTGAAATCTGACCATGTAGTCTTAGGAATATACAACTATTAGGAGGATTTTAAATTAGCTATTAGGAGGATTTTAACCCATGCTCCATATGAGACACTGCATCTGTTTACACATCTTTTTCCAATCCCCTTTTAAAGCAAGTAAATAGTACCATGAAATACATACCATCACTTTGTATAACAATAGTTACAATATTTTTAGTAATCTACTTGAAGAAAAAAGAGAGTTGCTTTATACATTTTCATCTGTAGAATTGAAATGGGCCCACATACAAGCTTTCTTTTGATTTTCAGACTTCACTTTCTAATTGGACACAAACCTTCACTAATGATGCTGCTTAAGACTTTACAGTCCTAATTGTCTACAGTCCCTCACTTGTTTTCCTCTAAATTATCCATCTTTTGTTCAGATTCATGAAGTTTAATTTTTGTTCCCTTCACAGAAATATGGAGAACATCCAGCTTTTGTTTTATGTCATGAAGAAAAGACCAAATATCTTTGCTTCAATGCCCCAGACTGAATTTAAAATATAAAGTACCAAAATCTCCAGTTTCTAGTCAGTACCGTTGACTATATATTACACTTACAGACTTCTCTTTTGCATGGTCAGACTGCTAAAAAAAAACACCTTTCACTAACTTGAAAATGGTCTTTACGCTTCAAAACTGTTATTCCAGAAATTTTGTGGCAGTCCAACATAGTCTGAAATGACTGCAATAGTGGATGACTGCAACATTGCATCAAGCAAGATGAAACTGAGATGTGTGAAATAGTCTTTGCTTTTTTTTTTTAAACACGACTAACCATCTTCCACATGAATTAATCTGATTCTTTCACAATAAGCTAACAACCTTCTAATGCAGCTCATTCTTTTGTCACGATACCTGTTATTATAAAACTTACACTGGTAAGAATGAAGCACTAATTATCTATCATTATTAATATAAAAAAAACAAAATCTACTTTTTTCTCTTAGTATCCATTATTTACATGGAATCCATTATAATTATTTGGGTAGCTATACAGCCATAAAGTTATATATACCCATAAAGGCATATATTTCAACTGTATGTCCAGTATTTATCCAAATGTGCCAGTTGTTAAAAATGTTAGTTGAAACATCAAGAACCTCACTCTTGAAAACAAAGTCATGCTTAAGTTTTAACTTGAATACTACCTGCCAAATTCCAAATAGTAGAAGAGGGCAGGTCAAAAATAAAAGGAATAAGAGCAAAGCCCAAATAAAATTAATTATAGTTCCTAGGATGACTCCCCATATATGCAATGATTTTATTCCTTCTGTCATGTTAAAAACTGCAAATCTGGGATAACTTTTTGATAGGTTCTTAAGATTACACCAATAATTTTTGAAGATCATTTGAGCTGCTGATTTGGTACTCCTGGTTTAATATATGGAAACTAACTGAAATTGCAGTCTTCCACTTAACCTTTAGGAAAAAACATCTTTAAACTTGATGGGGCTTATTTCTGAAGTTGTACTATGTACACACCAGAGGTGGGTTTCAGCAAGTTCTGACCAGTTCTGGAGAACCAGTAGCGGAAATTTTGAGTAGTTCGGAGAACTGGTAAATACCACCTCTGACTGGCTCTGCCCCTGTCTATTCTCTGCCTCCTGAGTCCCAGCTGATCAGGAGGAAATGGGGATTTTGCAGTAACCTTCCCCTGGAGTGGGGTGAAAATGGAGATTTTACACTATCCTTCCCCTGCCACGCCCACCAAGCCATGCCACGCCCACAGAACCGGTAGTAAAAAAAATTGAATCCCACCATTGGTACACACGCACTGAAATGCTCCAGATCACATTTCAGTCACATTATTTGATAGTCATAACTGCACGCTATCCTGATAGTGTTTCAGCATAGAGAGGTTGGCACCTTGTGTCATATCCCTCAGTATCTATGGATATTGCAATAGTAATCCATGACAGATATTGAGGAAATAAAAAGTACACTGTATACCAAAAACAGCTTTTTCCACACACCCAAATAGTTATGCAGTTGCCTGTAACTATGGCAACTCCTTCTTTACTCTTCCTCTGCCTTCTCCAGGTCTACATAACCTTACTAAGGATTAAAGATTAGGCACATTAAATATTATTTGTAGGCAGTTTAAGGCAAGATAACATTCTATCATCTTTAATCTGTATCAAGCAAGCAAAGTCTCAAACCTGACTCTCTCCCCAGGCTTTGAGTTAGGGTATCTACTAATGATGATGTAGGGAAAGTGTTTTATCTCTTTGCTCAGGGTGGCTACTGTCCTTTTTACATAATGTTACATAAATCTTTTCTTTTCACCAGTGAAGCTACCAAGAATAATTTTGGAGATTGGCACCTTACAAATTTGAAAAATAAATTTAGAAATAAGGACAATAAACATTCCAAACTATTGATAAGCATACAGCATATTTGAAATTAATACTACATTTTTTTCAAGTGAAATTAACTCAAATATTTATGCAATCTTGGTAGCACAAAAGATTGGAATCTTGATGCTATTAAATAAAAAGGCTTGCCAGATATTCTATCTGCAAATTATGCAATTATGGAAGACCTTCCACTATCACCCTATAATGTTCACTATATCTGTCTTTTTCTTTATCTTCCTTTGTAATTAGTGGGACAAAGGTATATAAGCAGTTTTTGCTTATGGCCTCTGTAAGCATTGAAACTTTGCTGGGAGTCCAGTATATTGCTTGTATACATGCAAATAAAATTATATTGTATCTTCCAAGTGATTTGGTTGCTTTAAGTAAGTCAGGTTTTGGCCACAATATTGGAAAGTGTGCCTAAGGTCAATTTTGTGAATTTCTGAGACTCTCCTCTTACTTAACCTATATGCTTAATATATATTAAGGAAACCTTATTTAGAAACAGATGAGTATGGTTTTAAAATTTAAAATATCATAACCTGCTTTGTGCTGATGACACTAGCCAATAGCCAAAAAATACAAAGGATCTGCAAATACTAGTAATAATTTGGAATGTTGACTTTTGCTATAAGATTTTGGAATTTACTATAAAAAATAAATAACTACTTATGAGAACCAGATTAATTTTGCCTACCTTAGTTATTGAAAATCATAACAAAGATGAAGACACAGATGTTGATAGAGACACAGATCCAAGACAGGAGTATGGGAGGCAAGACAAAAAACGAATAAGAATTGAAGTATTAAAATGGGCAAGAGATGATGGATAGAAAGGAATTATCATTACTTTCTTTTCTTTTCTTTTTTGTTAATATAACGATGGCCTTTATACACACCTTTATATTAAGTAAGAGGTGGATGGAAAGATTGGAGGTTGAAAGGTGATATTATTAGGTATGTTTAAATAATAGGATGACTGCTACTGGAATGGCGCATTGTGATTTTGAACAACTAAATAATGAAGGACTATGTCTTAATATAAATAAGTGTATTAATGCTAGGATTAGTAATGGTGGCCTGATTAGAAATTAGAATAGAGGTAGAAATAAGAAATAGGGGGAATATTAGCAGATATAATTTTATATAATAGAATATAAGTAATAATTAGATGGAAAGATTAGAGGTTGAAAGATGGTATTACTACATATGCTTAATAATATCATTGGCATTAAAATGGAACATTGAAATATTGAATAACTACTCTAAAAAACAATCATGTATATCAATACTAGGATTACATAAGATTGATTAATGCAACAATTATTATTATTAATATTATTACTGTTTGTATCAAAATGAATATGCCCAGAGGCCACACTGTTCATGTATTGATATTGATGTATATATATTTTTAAATCCAATAAAACTTTTTTAAAAATGATGTCTGGTTCAATGGATAGACTATGCCTAAAAGATGTTAATGTGAAGTATTTTTTTTCCCCTGACAACACATCAACTTTCCCACCCACCTATCTCCCTTCATCTCTGCCTTTTTGGACACTCTGCACTCTACAGCTCCTACATCTGTCTCCCCTGCCACCCCAGCTGATCTTCACTATTGTCTTCCACTATTCACAAGATGCATCC